GGGAGGCTGAAGAGCCCCTCAGGTCATATGCAACAGGTTTACTTGCGAGTGCAATGGAAATCCAAGACATTGCTGGCAACTTCAGAGCAGAGAATGCAAGTTTGGTGAGTACTGCTTTTGTTTTTACCGGCACTAATTTTTTTAAGGTAGAAGCCTACTCATACAGTAATGCAAATACCCCAAACTTATTCATTTTGCAATAAATTGTTTTTCTGGGCAATAAAAGGATATTCGGGGGTCTAACCTGCCTAATTTTCGAGAAAATGATGGTTGTATTTTAATTGATAGTGGTCATTTTGTCAGTATTATAATGCTATAACCATAGGTTTCTATGGCAGAGATATCATGCCATATCTCAAATTGTAGTCTGGTGGCATAGGTTGAAAAAATAATATACTGTTAATGATGGTCCACTTTTTGTTGACCTGAATTGCTCAAAAAATCAGGGTTTTAAAAAGTGTCAACAACATTCATCCACTCCCTATGAAAACAGAAGTTTGCAATTGCGAAATATAAAATAATAATGTAATGCAAAGTGATTTTGCTTGACAATAGAAGTCACTGTGGTTATCATGTCTGTCTGTCAAGATTCAGATAAGCTGAACATAAAAATAAGCGAAAATAACTAAAACAAGGAGAAATTATTTGAATTTAGGTAATAATATAACATTTGTTTTGAAATTAATGAAATTATTAATGTGTCAAACTTATGTAAAGTATGAGACACATTTTCAAATGGTTACTGTGAATGAAAAAATAAACCCAATTAAACTGCAGTATTGCTCATGGTTTTGCTAATAAAGTAGAAACTTTGAACTATCAATACTGCAATAATTTTGTTTTTAAAATTAAAAGTTAGCTGTTTTGCAAATCAATTGAATGTGCAATGCAGGAATCCATGTACTGACTTTTTTAAACATTCTCATTCCAGGTTCCAGTCATGCTACATCGTCTTAAAGAACTGAAAACATTAGCAGTTGAAGAATCAACATCTTCTGCTGCAGACTCTAGGGCGTCAGAAAGCAGATCTGAATCTGATCTACCAGTGGAGGAAAGACCATTTGTTTGTTTTGCTCCTTCAAATAAGGATGAAGAGACTGTGAAAACGAACACTGAAAAAACAGAGGAACCTGCGCTTCAGATCATTACGTGTCAGGAAATCGGGGCAGAAGAGGAAGTCATCGCTGTGAGCCCGGGAGAAGGACCTTCCACAAGTCGGAATGCTGAAATGGCCCCGCCAACTGAAATCAAACCTGACTCGACTCGTAATAAAAATAAAAACAGATGTAAAAAAAGATTGCCTAGTGACTCTCAACAGAAGAGGTCAAAGGTTAAAACAAGTTCAAAGTTTACTTCAGGTCATTTATCAGCATTGCCGAAACATGATTCTGTGTCTCACGATGGTGAGTGGAGTAATAGCAGCTGGGCTGAGATGGTGCCATATGTAATTGGAACACAATGTATGTATCCAATGACAACCGTCATGCAACAAAGACTCATTATACAATACCTTACGCCATTGGGAGAGTATCAAGAAGTGAGTGTGTTATGTTTGCAAAATTAGAATAATTTTTTTGCCATTTCAGTGAGGTGATTCTTGTGAATTTAAATGTGATTTTTAATTAATTAAAGAAGCAAAGTGGAAACGTGACTATGACAAAAAAAGGGGGAAATTGAAAAATGATGTAGTTTTAATTTTTGTCAAATTGACATTTAGAATACATTGTTTTTGTCAATGTTTGACAATAGGGGATTTTTAAATACCAGAATATTTAGAAGTTTTAATGAGAATTCTATGTTGCACCTGCAGTGGATTCCCTAAAGTAGCATACCTATTTATTTCAGCTTTTAGCTACAGTACTTCAATTGGGTGCAGTGGATCTTACTTTACACTACATTGACCTCAGTAAAACGTGTGATGTCAGGCTCACATTTGAAGGATTAAAAGTAAGTTTTATTATAAATAGTGTTTTTAATACGCATGTTCTGATTTTCACCTGCAGTTTTCTCCATAGATAAATGTCCAAAACATGGTGGCAAATTTGCATAACACTATTTAATTTGCATATGTATTTTGTTCTTGTGTGAAATAATTAACATGTCTTTAACCACTTGAAAGTTGGTGGGCATGATAAATACTCCATGTCTATGGTAACTACTTAAAATCTGTACCGGTAGTAGGAACCGCTGCTTCTACTAAAATGGTACAATGCAACAGAGGGGATGCGGCTTCTATTAGAGCATCTACACATATGAGAAATTGTGAATGTTTGGTTCTCAATTTTGAAAAAAGAATGGGTGCGACTTCTATTAGGGATGCGCTTCTAATATAGATTTTACAATAGTACAAATGACGCCATGTTATTTATTTACTTGTTGGGTGTGTTGCTTTCAGTACTTTCATGAAGTTCAAGCACTGCGTTTATTTTTATTGTTTTATTCTTCAGTATCTGGGGTCTCTCTTGTGCCATAAAAAGTTTGCGGCTGAATTTGTCAGCATAGGTGGTGTACAGAAACTTTTAGAAATCCACCGACCATCCATGGCTGCTACGGGAGTCTCCATGTGTCTCTATTACTTAGCTTACAGTGCAGACACCATGGAGAGGATATGTCTACTGCCATCCCCAGTGTTAAATGATCTAATCCGGTGAGTCTTTGATCAATCTCAGACCTTGTTGTTTGTACCATTCTGTAGTTATTTGTTCTTAGCTAGAAAACAAAGGCAGATAAAAAAAAAACAGACGTAATTGTCGAGCCTACAGTTAGCAAATGTTAACTGGCCATTTGCTTGACTGAAAGAGTTAAAAAATGGTGTTCACAGGGATTTTTTTAAACAAGGGAACAGGGGTGCAGCGCCCTCATGACATGGCCATGCGTCCCTTTACCCTGGGGAGCAGATCCTCTGGCAAATATAAAATTCTGAATGACCAGGGATCACATGTGGCCACAGTCTACAACTGTGACCTGTCTGATAGTAATTTTGGCCCCAAGGAAGCCATAGAATGCTCCATTTTAACTTAGAATTATCAAAAACTCCACACCCTGGTAGGAAGATATCGAACCCTATCTCCCCTACTTGGTGGCGTTGCTGAATTGCAATGCTCCCTCTTGCAGTTTTTTTCTAGAAAAACCCCTGGTGTTCAGAATAGTTGAAATAGTCAAAAACACACAATAGCGAAATCGGCCATCAGGGATTTTTTAGAGAAACTTTGGTATAGCATATGCACTACGGTATTCGCCAATATCTCAGCTTTCAGAAGATATATAGGTTGTTGTAGCATGCTTAATAACTTTTCAGGATTTGTTGATGTTTTCACGAATCATAAACTTTACTTAATACTCACTTTATCAACTGTTTATAAAATGTATTTGACAATGTTAACTGTACATTTAGAAAGCACTGGATATTGTTATGTTAGGCTCAGTTTGTAAGTTATTTGTTTGGTTATACAGGTTGTTATTATATATATATATACATACATACATATCAGAGCCTTTCCTCAATCAATCTAAAATATAATCTGTGTATCGATACATTTTGTTTCAGTTATGCTTTATGGTTACTGGAGTGTTCACATGAATCGGGTCGTTGCCATGCAACAATGTTTTTTATGCTGAGTTTTCCATTCAAAGCAGTTCTGGAATTGTTTGACATGCAAGATGGTCTCAGAAAACTGTGCAATCTAGTGAGTTTTTTCATTTCATTTCATGCTTTGAACTGTGTGTTGTTTTTATGTGAGGACAGTTGCCCATTCCTAGATTTCTTAACTTTCTGTGTTGGTGGGGCCTTTTAGGTCGATTGAAATACAAAAATTGGATGATTTAAAAAAATGGGAAGGCATATTCCATTGGCCGAGATTCATTCACTAACGAATGCGACTTTGGGGGAACCTTGATTAAGGTCCGCAGGTGCTTGTGTTCGACTGAGCCTGGTTGATGCCAGGATAGCGCATTAAAATTGCCATTTGATAGAGATATGGCCACACAGCCCTGTCATGTAGTCCCAAACATGAATACGACTGACTATGTGTCAGCACTAGCATTTGCACTTAAAAAAAAAAGTCAGGAGAGACACTCAATGTCCAAAACTGTCGCCTGGCACAAAAACATTTAAAAAAAAAAATCAACCAACAATTTTTGGTGCTTTTTCACTGAACATAAGTCAATCACGCCTTCAATTATCGTTACACTCAGTAATAGGCTGTTTTCCGTTAACTTCGAGATCCCGTGTTATACGTGAAATCAAACTATGCATAAGACCACGAAACTATTTTGGGGGCATTTCCGAACGTTTGATAATGGTTATTTTGCAGAAGTACTTTTATCTTAACACCATAATTCTCTCTGGAAGCTCTGCATCTTGACATTGACCACACTTTTCACACATGCGAGATCTAGTGAGGTGTCTTTCTCGTTTCAGATCAGCACTTTAGAAATCTTAAATATCGAAGATCAAGGACTTTTACTGAATGATGATGAAACGTTCTCCAATCGTCAAACCGTAAAAAATACTTGCGTAGCGTTGTTCAAATATTTTGAAGCTCATCTTGCCTTGAAAGTTGACAGCGTGAAACGTCAGTTTTCGAGGAATCAGGGATACCTGCCACCGGATCCAATACCACCATATAAGGTATAAGTGTTATATTGCCACAACTGGGTGCAAATAACCCTTTCTAGCGCCCTCAGTGTTGATAATAAGGAAAACGGTGCTTTATATATAGAACGATCATGAGCGTAATTGCTGACGTCAGGTAACCAAGGGAAATGCTGAATCATAATGCTGTATCCATTACTAGTTACCGGCCTCCTGTGGCTTGGTGCGCCATGACACTTGAAGCGGGAACCAGCTACATGTGGTGTTCACTGATAAAATCCTCAGTGTTGATAGTGACAATTGTGTATGCAATGATAAAATCATATTATGAGATAGCGCATTCAGTGTTGATAGTGACAATTGTGTATGCAATGATAAAATCATATTATGAGATAGCGCCCTCAGTGTTGATAGTGACAATTGTGTATGCAATGATAAAATCATATTATGAGATAGCGCATTCAGTGTTGATAGTGACAATTGTGTGTGCAATGATAAAATCATATTATGAGATAGCGCATTCAGTGTTGATAGTGACAATTGTGTATGCAATGATAAAATCATATTATGAGATAGCGCCCTCAGTGTTGATAGTGACAATTGTGTATGCAATGATAAAATCATATTATGAGATAGCGCCCTCAGTGTTGATAGTGACAATTGTGTATGCAATGATAAAATCATATTATGAGATAGCGCTTTCAGTGTTGATAGTGACAATTGTGTATGCAATGATAAAATCATATTATGAGAAAGCACCCTCAGTGTTGATAGTAACAAATGTGTTCACTGCTGAAATCAAATTTTGACATAGCGCCCTCAATTTTAATAGAGTAACCATATTCTTATATATGACATCCTCAGTGTTGACTGTGAACATGGTTGTCACATTTCATCATGTTCGATATGGGTCCCATGCGACATATACAACACATAGAATACTTTGTTTGTTTACAAAGTCATGGTGCTTTAACACATATTCTCCTGTTCATCAATGTCTTCTTCTTCTACCAAAGACCCTCCTGTTTACCAGCGACTCATTAATGGACAACATGGAGACACTGCTAGAGTACGCACCAATGAGAATCTACTGGGAGCCCGTCAGTGAATTCCAGAATTTACAAGGTATCCCATTACTGCTGCAAATCATCGCACTCTGCTATGACTGGAGAAACTACAGTGCTAGGTAAGTTATTACAATTTAGTAGTCTTAATAACTAAAATTTTGTTTCTTTGTAATCTCTTATCAAACAGTTCATTCTTCTGTTGCAAATCATAACTCGTCTTAAAAAGACCAACATCACCCCAACCAAATTCTCGTCTTCAAAAAAAAAGATAAGCTGATATGCACGTTAGTATATTTCTTCTTGCACTTTTTTGATTATTTACTGCATTGCTGACTACTTCCGTTGAGTAATTCTCAGGATTGCCTTCAGTGGAATCTGTATATGAATGACACATTCGAGCTCACCATGCACATGTTTCAACTCCCTGACATGTCTGTGTGTGTGTGTGTGTCAGGTTCCTGTGTAAAAATCTTGTGGTATACTATGTTGCATTAACCTTTTCACCACCAATTCTCCCTTTCATAACAATTTCACAAAATAGTCCCCGTTATAGTCTGCACTTTCCTTCAGAAAATTGGGACAAAAATAGCCAAATTTTTTTGAGGAAAAACTGAAAATTGACTCAAATTGTGTCTGTTGGCTTCAAAATTAGGGTTCATTTCCAGAAATTTTGAAGAATATAAGAAAAAAGTGTAGACAAATTTGGGCGAGAAATGTCTGGTGGTGAAAAGGGTAAGGTGGTGTATTAATTGCTTCAATCATTGTTTCACTGTACTTATCACCTTGTAGGGGAGAAACCATCAAAGCAGCGTTGGACATTCTTTCTGTGTTAACGGTGATACCGAAAGCACAGTCCCAACTCTGTCAACAGGTTGAACTACCGGATAATGTCAGCACGGTTGGCATGAAGTGAGTATCACATATTGTATTTGTATCCATGACATTTGTTTGCAGTTTCTTGGTTACTATGCCACGTGACAATTTTGATTTTGAATATTTCGGCGATGTTGTTTTATCAGCTTCCTGCCATTCTGAGTTTTCAGCTTTATGTTTAGTTTTGTTTTAAATGTTGTCAGACCATTGAAAGATGGGCCCAAACATAAATAAATGCCAAGTGAAATACTAATACATTACAGTATGTCATTTACAATGATTTGTCCAATGTTACATTGATAACCAATGTAAGTAAATAATGAACCATAAACCATTCTCCATATTGAGAATCACAAAGAAGTCATCACGTATAATAGAGGACATCTATGAAGACCAGTCAGTGGTTTGAGTTTAATTTAATCTTTCGACAAACAGCCCCCCAAAAACAATATCTGTTTGATTTAACTATGGTGATGTGCAATGCTTATTTGTATATTTTCTAGTAGTCATTTGTAAGTGTACTTATTGGTATTCTAGTAGTCATTTGTAAGTGTACTTATTGGTATTCTAGTAGTCATTTGTAAGTGTACTTATTGGTATTCTAGTAGTCATTTGTAAGTGTATTTATTGGTATTCTAGTAGTCATTTGTAAGTGTACTTATTGGTATTCTAGTAATCATTTGTAAGTGTACTTATTGGTATTCTAGTAGTCATTTGTAAGTGTACTTATTGGTATTCTAGTAGTCATTTGTAAGTGTACTTATTGGTATTCTAGTAGTCATTTGTAAGTGTACTTATTGGTATTCTAGTAGTCATTTGTAAGTGTATTTATTGGTATTCTAGTAGTCATTTGTAAGTGTACTTATTGGTATTCTAGTAATCATTTGTAAGTGTACTTATTGGTATTCTAGTAGTCATTTGTAAGTGTACTTATTGGTATTCCAGTAGTCATTTGTAAGTGTACTTATTGGTATTATAGTAATCATTTGTAAGTGTACTTATTGGTATTCTAGTAGTCATTTGTAAGTGTACTTATTGGTACATGTATTCTAGTAGTCATTTGTAAGTGTACTTATTGGTATTCTAGTAGTCATTTGTAAGTGTACTTATTGGTATTCTAGTAGTCATTTGTAAGTGTACTTATTGGTATTCTAGTAGTCTTTTGTTTAATTTATTCTCCAGTATTGTGTGTGGGACAGCTGAAGGTGACGTGTTCCCAGAAGCTGATGTACAGAAATCTGCGCTCAGAGTGATTATAAACTGTGTGTGTGGTCCTTCTACCAGAGTGAGTAAATAACTTTCTTATCTGGCTGAGTGTTTCAGACAAAAGTCATATATATAATTCCTTGGATATATGACCAAAATCTTGTCAACTTCAGCTTTGGGTCAAGTCTAATATTGTAGCATTCAATCCAAGTTATCTATCATTTAATATATTAATATATTCTTTTTTTTTAGCTTAATAATGGTTGTTTGAACATTTTTTTATTTTATTTTTCTGTGCGAGTATATCAAACAACTAATAGAAACTATGTAGAAAGTATATAAAAATATTTGTTTACCAGTTTTAAATGTTTATTGTTGTGTTTTGGTTTTCTTACAGCTTGGTGGAAGTGTAACTAGATACACCAGTGGTTCTGTCAAACGAAATCGTGCTACGATACGTAGTGGTGGAGACATACTGAGTAAGCTCTGGGACTGTGTGCAAGCAAATAATGGCATTCGGGTAAGGCTATACAATCTGCAATTTGTCTGAAAACTGATTTGAATTTAGGGGGAGGTGGGGTCTTTTCCTATACACAGTGTTATATAAGGACTGCATTGGTCTTTTTCTAGTGTCTGAAAACAGGTCTAAAATATTCAGCATTTGACTTGGAAATAGAGAATAACAGTTTCTCATGCTATATTTGTGCTACACTTTCCTCCCTCTAAAAAAGTGACAAATCTATCATAATCCGTGTAAAGAAGAAATTTTGTGAAACGAGTTTCCATTTTCACATGTTTACTGTTTAAAAGTAGGTAAAGGGTACCAGAGGGCAGGGTGTGAGCCAGCCACCAGTCCACCCACCAAACAGACTGGCCACTTTGATTTTGGACTGGCAACTTTTTTCCATTTTTTTTTCTATTGTTTTTTGATAATTTAACCAAAATATATTGAAAACCATCAACATTTTCATGAAGTTGAATTGTCTTGGACTGGCAGTTGCAAATTCCTGGCTAACAGCCTGCCAGAAGCACTGCTCTAGTTACCCATACATGAAAAATAATTTTGAATAAAGATTTCATGATTGAAGTAGGTTCATTTTATGGTATATAACATAAACGCATACTGTGTGTGTATTCTACTGATGTTTATATTAAATTTATTGACTGTGTTTTCTTGGATAGATACTGTTATCGTTGCTAATGGTAAAGATGCCAATAACCGAAGCCGACGCTATAAGGACGTTAGCATGTAAAGCGTTATGCGGACTGGCTCGGAGTGAAACTGTAAAACAGATTATCAGTAAATTGCCGTTATTCACACATTGTCAGTTACAAGGTAAATATACAGTAAGCCGCTATTATTTCGCAAGTCGGTGAAAATCGGAAAAGTCAAAAGCAGTGAAAGTTTGTCTGCGCTCCTACAACACAGAGTGTCAGTCACTTAAGAGAAAGCTGTGCCCAGTCTCACGACACTCGGGGTTAGGAGAATTATAATGACATCCTGTCAAATAAGGAACATAAACCTGTTGGTCCAGCATGTTGCTTCTAAAAAAAATCATAGTGACAGTATGTTGAGTAGTGGTTTACCACAGGATAAATGAATGAAAGAATAAATGAATGAATCAACAGACTAATGAATGAATAAATAAACATGTAATCTAACTACCGGTATTCGAGTATGGAAAGTTTTTGAATGGTGTGCATGCTATAAAACTTATACAGTGCAGTCTCAGGTGTTTATTTGTTTTCTCAAATTGCATATTTGTTTTTATTTTCAGTGATGATGCGGGAACCAGTACTGCAAGATAAACGATCTGAGCACATGAAGTTCTGTAGATATGCTTCTGAACTTATAGGTATTTACAGTCTTGTTAATTTTAAAATGTTCCACTAGGAAATGGACAGCTATACAAACGACATACAAATAAAGATTACCGGTATGCTCCATGCGTACAACTAGACTGGCCCAGTCGTATTCATTGCTATTAATTATTCACAGTGTGTAGTGACATTATATAACTTGGGATTGTAATTTTTCCGAATGAGGAAAGTGGGCGTGCTCTTGCACAAAAAATTCTATGCGTCAGCAGGTCATGTGTGTATTGTAGTTGTGTAAAACAGATTATTGGTTGGCAACTTATAATTAATGCTATTCGCTAGCATATTACCTAAAAGGTGTAGTGATAACTGTAGAGGGTGCAGCAAAATAGACCAATCATGGAAACTTCACATCAACTTGAGAAATTCTAAAAACTCATTCTAAAGGAATTAGCATATAAAACAATAAAATTGCCATGACTGGACCAGTCTAGTATAGAATCTACCTGCATGTACACTGTAAGTGACCTGTATCTAACATGTGCAATGTGACGGCCACCAAGCGGCCACCAAATTGTTTGTGTAATTCATTTGTAAGTTTTTTTTTATTTTCCTCCACAGAGAGAGTTACAGGGAAGTCTTCAATAGGACCTGACACGTCATTGGCTGATATATACAGACTTAACGTAGTAGCACAAACAAGAATAACATACCCAAGTAAAGAATTATTACAGTTAATCCATTCTCATCTTACATCACAGGGTAAGCTTTACTCAGTTGTTAACGAAGTTAGTGTTCAATATTCTCAGAGATTTTTGGCTAAATTTTGTTTGATATTTGAATAGTTGTAGTGATTGTTTGATACTACTAATCTGATGTTTAGGCACTCTTGGTCAGACTGATCATTGCTATTTTGGGACATGGTGAACAAATGATGTAATTTGGATAATATTTCAACCCACATGGTTACAATGTTGAACCCCCAAAAAATTCATCTTTTCTGAGGTGTTCCTTGGGTATAACCCCACCCCTTACTTTCCCTGATTTTACATGTTAAGGACCCTGGGCTTATGACCGGGGAAATACGGTAACACATTTGCAAAAGTTTGTTTCAGAATCTGATTCAAGATGGTTAATCTTCATTTTCGTACTAGGCAGAAATAAACTGGCTCCACTTTGTATATCTGTCACATGAGTGTAAATAATTATTTGGCACCAATGTTGACAGTCACTAAAAACTGAATGAGATCTTATCATCAAAAATGACTTGTTTTAGTTTTTGCTTTATTTTTATGACACAACCCGGCACCACTGAAAAATGCGTTTTTTAGTCCACGGGGACTTATGTTTTGACCTCTGTGTGTGCACTCACAATAAAACTTCACACATACATCATACATGATATTATACATATGCACATCAATTTGTTGCATGATCTGATTTAACATGGCCGAATGGCAGCCATTTTTGTACTGAAAAATCATCAAAATTAAGCATTTCTCGGCTGTTTACAGCTGGATTTTGTTGAAACTTGGTATATACATTGGACGTTATAGGAGCTTGTTTTTAATATATTTATGTGTCAGAATATTATGCAGGTTCAGAGACAATGGATTACATTATACATACGTTAAATGTATAGAAATGACATAGGTAACACAATGACCATATATGAATAATCTGATGTTACAATTAAAAATACATTGTAAATAACAAAAGCTGGTATTTTTTTAATTACAGGTCTTATAGACTCGGCGGCAGCACTCCAGAAAGAAGCAGATTTACCAGTACACACCTCTGTCAACAGTACACCTCCTTCAAGACCGGTAAGTAACGATACATTACATTAATGGAACAACATAAATAGTGCATCATTTAGTTCGCTAAAACCTGTTGTTTTATTTTATTTTTCATCTTGTTGTTTGTGGGCTCAATAACTCATTCTCACGTAATGTAATTATTTCTGTTGTTATTTCATTCTAAACTTTTTTTTGTAAGTTTTGATGAAATGTTTATGGAATTTTGGTCATCAATAAATTGAAAAAAAATTCATACTTTGTGTGATGTGGAAGAAGTTATTCTATGATATACAATACATGTATATCATAAAATGTCAGATACACTCTTAAACCTGTCTTATTGATCGCCTTTATATAAAGCCATCCTGCCTGTAGTGACCACCTTTGTGCAATCTCAATGCCATTTACATGTTAATTAACCTTTATATTTAATCCACCTGTGTATTGTGACCAGTGACCACTTTTGCCACCAGTTTGATACCACTGCAAGTTTTTTAACTTGACTTTCTTAATTAGTCCCCTCCGAAAACGGGGACTTGTGGTTTGCCCTGTGTGCGTCCGTGCGTCCGTGATCATCTGTATCTCGAACATGCATGGACCGATTAAGTTCAAACTTCACTCATACATCCCACATTATATGGGACATATGCACATGCACTTTTTTCATGATCCGATTAACGATAGCCGAATAGCGGCCATTTTAAGGCCGAAAATGCATCAAAATCGCACATTTTCACCATTCCAGACCC